CCTGAAGTTCTAGACCGGTATAATGACATAGTCTCTACCCTCCAGACCTGCCATTTCCTCCACGAGAACTACCATTGCCAGCCTCCAGATGAGGGCTGGAGATCACCCAGAATTACAACTGCTGTCCAGGTGATAGAGATTAGTTCCCCTGGATAAAATGGCTGCTTTGGAGGGTTGAGTCTATGGAATTATACCCTGCTGTGGCTGTTTGCCTCCCCAAGCCTCACTGTCCCGAGGCTCCACCCCCAAATCTCCAGGAATTTCCCAACCTAGAGCTGGCGGCCTTAAGGTGAATTGATCTCTGTAGCTGGGAGATCTGTTATGATTCCCGGAGAGCTGCCACTGCTGCTGTGGGGGGAGAGGGTGCAGGTGGGTGACTGGGAGCACTGCCACCACTGCTGCTGTTGTGCGGGGTGGGGGAGGAAGCAGGCAGGAGGCTGGGAGAGTGATGGAGGGAGAAAGAGAGAGTGAAGGAGGCAGAAAGAGATAGAAAGAGTGATGAGGTGGGGAGGCAGAAAAACAAAGATAATGGTGAGGGGGGATAAAGAGAGAGGAAGTAACATGCATGGAGGAGAGACAGAGAGTAAGAAAAGGGGGGACAGAAGAAAGAGTATGAGAGAGGTAAGGGAGGGGGAGGAGGCAAAGGTATGAGCAGGGGTCATTTTGTAAAAAAAGAGGTGCAGGAGCTCACTTGCATATGCCACACCCCTTGCAAAGGGCAGGCATGTTTAGAATGCCTTTCTCTCCCTCCCCCATGTGGGGAAGGGAAAGAAAGGCATTTAAATTCCCTCCCTTCCCTGAATTTCTCTGCAAAAGTGGAGAGGCTCAGGGGAGGGGAGGGCAGGGAGGCAGACATGCCTGGATTTCCTGCCCAATGTTTTGATTTTTTCTCCCCACTGTTCTCCCCCATTCTTTAATTCAGATTTTACTGCAATGGCTGAGACTGGGTTTCTTTGTACAGTAACTCCGGCTTGTATGAGCCATTTGGTTGCCTGTAAGTCTCTCCTCCAGGTGACCACACAGGAAAAAGTATTAACTGTACTTGAAACTATAACTTATCACTGTACAGTAGAAATCTGGAAGTTCAACTAACTTCCTGTGTGATTTGGGTAAAAGTTACTAAAAACTTGTGATTTCCTACATTATACTTGTATATGCCACATGTTATAATTGTGCCACCCCCATACCCAGTTTCCACTAGCCAGAGTATTTTGGCAAGCACACACACACAGCTCAGAACTGAACATGTTATGCAATTACTAAAAAAAGCCACAAAATTCTGAGAACAACAAGAACTCTTTTCATGTGTTACAAAAGCAGCTCTTAATTAAGCCCTTAATCATTAGAAACTCCACGCCACATGAAAGCACCA